TTTTAATAGATTTAAAAAAAACACCAGTAGTGTTAATTCAACCCACATGGGCTATCATTGGTATCCTGTGCCACTGCTTACGCAATACATAGTCACTTCTGTCAGGTGGAAAATGCTGTACAGAAGGCCAGCTGCATGCTACAGCTGGAAAAAGAAAAACCCACTGCAAGGTGTAACTTAGTATGAAAACAAACTGGATAACGCACGAATTGCAATCACAGACTTTTTCCCCTAGAGAACCTGTTTTCTTTTGATCCTAACCTTTACAAGTTTAAGTCTTTAGGGCTGAAATAGCCAGCATCCCAAGATAGATTGCTGCTTCTCTTTTAAAAAAAGATTCTTGGCCAAACAATCTTTGTTGTCCACCATTTCTCCAAGGTTGGGTAAGTCCAGAAATGAAAGCAAGTGGAGAGGTAGAAGAGGAAGAAAGAAATGCAGAATATAATAGGGCAAAAGATGAGAGTTTAGGGGAAAAATATGATAGTGGAAAGAAGGAGCATGAGAAGCTAGAGGAAAATACCAATATTAGCACAGATTTTGGAGGCAAGTCCTAGAATGTATTAATCATATAAGAAGATATTAAAAAAAAAAAAGAGAAGTATGAATGTATGGGACAAGGTTATACACAGAATGTTTCCTTCCCTGATCTGCAGTTCAACATTGTAGCTCTGGGTCTGACTGTGGCTTTAGCTGCCCATAAATGGTTGTGAAAGTCACTTTCAAATTGTGTGTCTCAGTGCCCACCATTGTCTTCATGAGTTCAGATGGTGGAATTCTGTGCTGGGGCTCTCTATAAGGAGACAAAATCAGTAGATGGGACAAACTGAGCGATTCATTTTGTTCTACAGTATATGCATACATGCATATCTGTTTATATGGTGCAATCTTTAATGAATCACATTGTTTCCCTTAGCCCCTTAGTTTTAGGACAGTCTTCAGATGATTCAGCACGGTGTAAGAAAGACTAGTATAGGGTGCTTTCCTCTGCATAGAAATTAAAAGATATGTATGTGAAATAGGCAGGAGACTCATAGAAAAGAGGAAATGGTCTCATGGTTAGGAACATTGGCAACCATGAGAACGGGATACTATCCCTGCCTTTACTGATAAGTTCCTATTAGAGATGGCCAAATTGCTTTTACCAAAATTTTCCATTGGCCACTAAGCACACATTTTTGGATTTTCTACAGTGGTTCACATTGGCAGAATGCTCTTCCAGCTGCAGTTTGAAGTCATTGATAGTGTACTTTGGACATATAAAACCCTGTACAAATGCTAAGCAGTTAAGGAAAGTCAGTACTTTCTTATAGTAGGAACCCACAGTACATGGAAACTTTTGCCATTTTTGCCCATTATCTCCATGCCTAACTTTATCCCTCTAAAATGGACATGATAGCAGGGAAAAAGCCACTTCTCCTACAGTCAGTTCTCTTTCTGAAGTCAGTTAACATTTGTGAATTGCTTAGATAACTTTGGTGAAAGCTCTAACATACTTCAGAAGACTTTATTAATTTCCTTCTTAGTATAGTGAAGTGTCGTACTAAAAACTTTATTATTGACCTTTTATTATAGGAAGTATTGGTCCTGCGCAAAAAAAAAAAAAAAAAAAAAAAAAAAAAAAAAAAAAAAAAAAAAAAAAAAAAAAAAAAACAAAAAAAAACACACAAGCCAAAACCAAACAACAACACACCACAAAACCAAAACCAAAGTGATTATGAGAATACCCTGGAGTACAATTTTCATCTCATGATGGAGACAAAAAAATGTCCAATGAAACATTCAGTTCTGGAAACACTGAAACGAAGTGCTTAATTTCACTATATGGGGAGGGTGTTCCTTTTGGTTTGGGGAAGAGAAGAGAGGGAGAAAACAAAGGTATTTATTGGATAAAATACATTTAGAGTGTGAATTGTCTGTGGCCTAGGGTGATAAAAAATACTTGACAGACAAATTCTGCCTATGTGAGGTTCCTGACCAAGAATATCATACCTAAATTTGTTCCTGTTAAAATCAATAAAATATCTCAGATTGCTTGTAGAAATGTTTGTGGTGTGTATTGCAGCAAGTATTCAGTATCAACAGTTCAGAACTGCTGTCTCTAATGGGATTGCAAAATATCTGTCAGCTTTGGCTGACAGCCTAAGGTTGCCACAGCATTTTTTCTCTTTAATGAGTAAAATAGGTGGCATTTATAGAAAAATAACTGTCTCATGAGAAGCTGTGCAAAAAGTTCCATTCAAAACCATTCTGTTTATATATAGTTTTGTTGTTTGTTTTCTTTTCTTTTTACTTACTACTGTGGACATTTGCATGAAAACAGGATATTTCTCCTTCAAATTGCAGTCATGGACAGAATAGCTACTATGCCAAAATGAAGCCAACCCACTTCAAAAAAGTAAACTATTTTGCTCACCAAATCTGTTTCTTCTGTGTATGTAAAGTTTTGAGTGCTTATTTTCCTACCTAAATTTAGCAGCTGTTTTTTGTGTTAATTCTGTAAAACCAACAAAACAATATGGAATATAATAAATAAGAATAAGTGAAAAGATTAAATTAGTAAACAAAGCCAATAACATAAATAACATTTAGAATTTGCCATGACAGACAGCAGGGATAAAAATATTTTTGTTCTATTCATTTTTGTTTACACAGCTTAGAAACAATGATAAATACTTGAGAGAATTAAACAAATAAATAAAAGAGCTGAGTCCTCTTTTGGCTGATGGTGATCAATGAGATTAACAAAAGCAAGCTTCTTTTAAAAATGTCTGTGTTCTTTCTGATGGACAAATTTGACTTTTCCAATCTCAGGTTGAATGTAATATTCTACCAATTTGAGAGAGATACTTTTACTGACAAGTGGCATATTTTTTCTGGTTTGGCAATGTTTTTAGAATGCTCTTAAAATTGACTTCAAGGGTCCAAGGCTGAATGAGCTTAGATTAACAGCAAAGTTCCTATGTGTATTTACATCACTTAAGAGCTGAGTCCCTGACTTCAGGTCTGAGCGCACAGGGAAAGCTCTCAGCTGCCCAGATCGCTCTGTGTCATTTATTTCCCTGGCAGGAATGAGTAGGAGAGCAGATTCAGTGTGCTGCCAGATCCTCAGTCCCTCCAGCCCTCATCCTAGCAATAACGAAGGCAGGAAGGTGAATCATGGAGCCTTCCAGCTGGAGGCAGCTCTAGCCAGAGCAGTCTTACAGCTGCTCTACCCTGCAGAGGCTCACTTGCTCTGGACTAGGGGATTGCAGTGGCTTGTGGCTTAGAGCAGGCTTTTCCTGTTCCTCCTCCTCTCAGTCTAGGGTGGTTCTCTGAAAACTGATGTATAGCTATTCAAAATCCACTGTACAAAGCCATCACCTGGTTATACAACTACAGGCTTTATAGTCACCATACTAATAAGGAAATATTCCCCTCTCTGATTAGTAAAGAGAACAGCAGGGCTTCAGAGCAGGCAAATATAGTCCTCTGACTGTAAAGATTTGCAGAGAAATTAAGAATGGACAAGCTCCTCTTTATACTACACAGATCAAGATTTCCAATATCATGAGTGCTGCTTCTTCCCAAAGCTACCTGCAAGTCTTTCAGACAATGCTTTTTTCCTCATTTGAACTAATAAGCATTCTGTTGATTAGTCAGAAAACTAATGTAACCAGCCTGTGTTGGATTCCAAGAGCTCAATTAATTAACAGTCTCTTGACCCCTTTGGGACCATATGAATTCATGCTGTAAAACATCTTGCAATTCTCCCTGCAGCTGTGAACTGCATTTTTTTTTTTTTTTTTTCCATGCCACTTCAGAGTTGGGGTCCATTTGCTTAAGCCAAACACCATTTAAATGGGACTAAACAATGTTGGATCCTAAGCAGGAAAGAAACATTAAAGGGTCTTTGTAGAAATTTGTTTCATTTATTCCTATTTTATGGCTGTTCAATATGTAGTTTACACTGGACAACCTCTAGCTGCTTTTAGCTTGGGCAGCTAATAATGGATGTTCACATTGTCCTGTTTTTTCATACTTGTAGTAATTGATGCAAGGTTGTGGCCTAATGAAATGTTTGAAGAGTAATTTAGCATCAATGAGTCAGTTTCTTTGGTTATCTATTGGCAATATTCAGTTCCCACCTAGTTTTTCCAGTGCTGCTTTGGCAAACTGCTACAGGTTTTAGCAGCAGGCAGTTCACAGTAATTATATAATACATTAAATAAATATATGATAAATCATCAAATGTAAGCCAAACAACAAACACCACCCTGGGGACTACCTGGCCCTGAAATTTTCACAGATAAGCACAGCAGGTGAGTAAAGGAGTATGAGGAATAAGATAAGAATTTTTTATAGCCTGACTGCCACAAATATGTCAGTGGAGCTGAGTCAGCACATAGAGTGCAGTAATTTGCTGATTTGAAAGCCAGTAGTTCACTGCTGCCCTTCTGGGTGATACAGAGAGCATTGGCCAGAAATTATGACTACCCTTTGAGAGCTCTGCGGAGCTGCTGCTTCCGTTGCTCTTCAACCCAGCTCTTGTGCTGCTGCATTCCAGGGACATTCCACTGGAAACAATAGCATGGCACAGTACTGCTGGAATAGCCACCGGTCAGCATCAGGCCAGCAACAAAAAAATGTAAATGAAACCAACCATCTTTTTAGAAGCAGCAATTTAAGAATGTTTGCCTTTCTGAATTGAAAACTGTTGCTTCATTGTTGTCAAGTCAATATACTTAATAGATACATATAGTGTGCGCAAATTAATATTTAGCTGTGTCATTTATATTTCTTTTATGTAGGATTTTTTTAAAACAAAATATTCCTTTTCTGTACTGCTCTTTCAGTATTTGGACAAATGGAAACCAGGACTTATTCTGCCTTTCTTACTCCTATCTCTGTATTTTTTTCTGTATAGAAATACTTTTGATCATTGTGTTGATGATTGCTTTCCTGTTAAGTTATAGCTCTTCCTGGCCCCTGTTAAAACAGACTTTCTCTGTTTTTATTGCCAGCTCATGGATGCTATGACTGTAGGACTGTGCTAACTGACCCCTCTGGAGTTTTCACTTCCCCATGCTTCCCCAGTGACTACCCCAACAGCCAAGCATGCAAGTGGATCATCCGAGCACCTCATGGATTCATCATACAGCTAACATTTATTGATTTTGACATTGAAGAAGCTCCAGGCTGCATTTATGATTCACTGACATTAGACAATGGAGAAAGCCCAATGAACCTTTGTGGCATCACTGCCAAAGGATTATCCTATAACTCTACCGGAAATGAAATGATCGTGTCATTTAAAAGCGACTTCAGTATCCAAAAGAAAGGTTTTAATGCAAGCTATGTACGAAGTAAGTAAACCCAAAGCATTTCATCCCTTTTATAGCTGTCAGAAGGAAGTGTCCTGTAAGGATTAGAATTATAGACCCTGAAGGAATCAAATTCTCCATGAAGACAGGAAAGGATGGGGAGGCTTCATGGTAAAACTAGAGTTCTTTTGTATGTTTTTCAAACTTATTTTTCTTTAGATAAAAATTCTTTTATTCTAGGACAGGACATCAAGCATGTTAAGAAAACTTTTCACATGCAAAGATTTTAGGTCTAACAGTGCCTCTCCCTGCAGACTTATGCTGGAGGGTTTGGAAGCAGGACATGTGTCCTTCAGGTTGGCCTAATTGTGGAGGGACATAAAAATCTGAAGGAAAGCATGAGAGAGAAACAGGGCCAACCCAGACCTCTGGTGTAGTGAAATGCCCAGCAGTGGGGAGGAGTTTGTGCACAACACAGAACTTCTCAGGGGTTCTTCCAACTTCTAGAATAAATTCCCAGGGATGAACTGGCATTGCAAAATGGCTACCTTTTATTCCACTTCCTTGATCTTTCTTTCCCTTCCTTAAATACATATCAATGCTTAGATTTTAAAAAGCCCAACAACT